GATAGGACCAAAAACCTCTGATGGTATTTTCATAGGCTATGCACAGAATAGTAGTGCATATCGTTTCCTTGTGCATAAATCAGACATTCTTGACATCCATGTCAATACAATTATTGAGTCAAAGAATGCTTGTTTCTTTGAGGATATATTTCCTTGTAAAAATCATCTTAAAAGAAATTATGATATTGTTAGTAGCAATATACAAGAGAATATAGACCAAGACTCTATAGATGATGAAAATAAGGAAGAATCTAGACGTAGTAAAAGAGCTAGAAGTCTAAGTTATTTGGTCATGATTTTCTGACATATATATTGGAGAATGAACCACAAAGGTATAAATAAGCTATATCTTCTCCTGAAGCTCCTTTATGGAAAGAAGCCATAAATAATGAAATTGAATCCATCATGCAAAATCATACTTGGAAGCTGGTGGATCTTCCTCCTGGTACTAAACCTTTAGGGTATAAGTGGATTTTCAAGAGGAAGATGAAGCCTGATGGTTCAATTGATAAATATAAAGTCAGGCTTGTTGCTAAGGGATACAGGCAAAAGGAAGGCTTGGATTATTTTGATATCTATTCACCAGGTACAAGAAAAACATTCATTAGACTGTTACTTGCTATTGCAATATTGCAAAATTTAGAAATACATTAAATGGATGTTAAGACTGCATTCTTGAATGGTGAATTAGAGGAAGAAATCTATATGAAACAACCTGAAGGTTTTATAGCTCCAGGCAAAGAAAAGAAAGTATGGAAACTTATAAAATCCTTATATGGATTAAAACAAGCAGTTAAACAATGGCATTAAAAATTTGACAAAGTGATGTTGTCAAATGGTTTTAAAATTAATGAGTGTGATAAATGTGTTTATGTGAAAAATACTCAAAATGGATATTAATTGTGTGTCTATATGTGGATGATATGCTAATAATTGGTAGTAATGATGTTATAATCAAAACTACTAAAAAGATGTTGACCAAAAATTTCGATATGAAATATTTAGGCATAGCTGTATCATGCTAGGAATCAAGATTTCTAGAACATCAGATGGCTTAGTATTATCTCAATCTCACTACATTGAGAAAATACTAGAAAAGTTTAATAAAGAAGATAGTAGTCTTGTAAAGACTTGTTGATGTAAATATTCATTTATCGAAAAATACTGGTTCTAGCATATCATAACTTGAGTTTTCTCGCATTATAGGAAGCTTAATGCATTTGATGAATTGCACACGACTAGACATAGCATACTCAGTTAATAAATTGAGTAGATATACAAGTAATCCAGGAAAAAAACCATTGGACTGCAATAATCAGGGTTCTAATATATTTAAGATATATCATAAGTTATAGATTACATTATTCTAAATATCCAGCAGTACTTGAAGGATATAGTGATGCTAATTGGATATTAGATACGAATGATTCTAAATCCACAAGTGGCTATGTCTTTACTGTTGGAGGAGGTGTCATATCTTAGAAATCTTCAAAACAGACTGAATTTATTATTTTGGATAAAGTTGGTGAAGAAACTGAATGGCTTCGTAATTTCTTAGAAGATATTCCAAATTGGCCTAAACCTGTGCCCGCTATATGTATACATTGCGATAGTCAATCAATAATTGGAAGGGCACAAAGTAATATATATAACGGTAAATCTCGACATATACGTCGATGATATAATATCGTTAGACAATTGCTCTCAAGTGGGATAAACTCAATAGATTATATCAGGTCAAAAGATAATTTAGCGGATCCGTTTACAAAAGGTTTAACAAGAGAGCAAGTGTATAATTCATCGAGGGGAGTGGGATTAAAGCCGAAAGTTAAGTAGTCATCTTAATGGAAACCCAACCTAGTTGACTGGAGATCCCAAGATCGAGGTTCAAAGGGATAACAGAAATTCTGAATGGCTCACCAGAAGTATTGAAAAGATTTAATCTTCTACCCATTACTATAATGTGACAGTGTTACCTACAACAATAAGTAGGATAAGCTATGTTTTTAATGACTCTTATACCATGAAAATTCAAGTGGGGTATAGTAGGATACTCTTAATAAGAAGTCACTTATATGAGTGTGAAGTAAAGCCGTGTCTATGGGAACTTCTAAGGCTAAGTTTTCTAGAGCACTCATGAAATACCAGGAGTGGTTCAGGGCCATATGAATACAACCGTGAGAACCGACTTTGTGCTGGAGTGAACTGTGTATTTGCTATTATCTTAGTTTACATTAATGGCTAATGGCTAAACAGTTTAAGACATCATGTTCACTGGTTAACTAGTCAATCCGATAGTTATACACTTTCAAGGCCAAAAGTTACCTTTCTCGATGCAGTTACTTTCCAATAGTATTCTCTCTAGTGTCTGTATCTTCTTCATTTGCAATTGATGCAAATTTCTATTCATGTGGGAGATTGTTGGAAATGGGGGCATTAAAAACATAAACTTTGGATGAGATTTTGAATAAATTTCGTTAAGAATTTTTTGCAGATCTATAGATGAGCGCGTTCCTCTCCGCAAGGAGATGAACGTGGTATATTTATTTTTTCAAATCCGTTTTCGGGTGAATGAAAAATTAGCTTCAAAGTAAGATGTTTGATAAGCCTAAATGGGTTTGCAAAATGTGGGAAATGTTTGTCCCGCATTGGAAAAATATTAAAACCATTTGAAGTATAAATAAGCTTAGTATGGGATTTGGGTTTGGGCCCAAGGGTTTGTAAGAGGGGAGGACCTAGGCAAGCTTGGGTCCGAACCAACTACCACAAGCGCGCGCTGCCCACCCGACTCGGTCCGGTCCGGTGTGGGCTTAATTGTGAAATCTGTTTAATTTTTTACTAAAAAAAAATGGGCTTGTGTGTTGGATTTTAATTTTATTTTTGCTGGGCTTATTTAGATGGGCAAAATTGGGCCTGCTTAATGGGCTGCTTTTAATTTAAATTAAAAAACCAGATTACAGTTTTTCAATAAATGGTTGCACCCATCTCTTTAAACTGAACCAATGCATTCAGTTTTTTGACCACCTAACCTGAACCATCACAACCTATGTAGGTGATGGTTCAAGCCATCCGAAAAAGCACCATGAGGCCTATATAAACCCCCCCTTGGGCTTATTCCATAGCACTCCAATTCAGAATATTTCTCCTATTTCTGAATTATTTCTTTCTTCTATAATTGTCTGTGGGTTCAAGCCATAGTCTTTGGGTTCGAGCCTTAATCAGTGAATTTGAGTCAGAGAGTACTACACCGAGCCGGTTCGCCTATTCCTTTGGTTTGCAGTACTATTACCGAAGGAAAACAAATCGTTATATTCTGGGAGATAGACGCCACTGAGTCCGTTAGCACCATAGCAGAGTGAATCTGTCTTAAGGATATAGAATCAAATTCTAGCCTCCACAGGTTTATTTATTTTATAGTTTTATTTGATTATATTAAACTATATATTATAAAAATTTATATATATATATATATATATATATATTATTTTCAAATAATATTTAAATAAATAATACCATAATATATGGTATAATTAGACCATATAATAGCAGTTACTACTAAAATAATTAGTTTTGAGAAAAGTAAAAAATTCAGCTTTTCATAATTATCATCATGATTGTAGTCAGGAACATGGCTCATAAATAAACATATAAATACATAAATCCCTCAAGTTATTTTGGTTAGACACTCCTAAAATGTTCACTGACACTTGCACTTCTTAGTATAATTCAATGCAAATATAGCCTGAATTTTCAGTAGGGGGATGAAGATTTCTGCAAAATCATAGAATTTGCAACCTATAAGTTCTGCAGTTCAAGCTGACATGAAATTTTCATTGTTTTCTTACTCTTATGTTTTACTTTCACCATACTGAAAGAATATGGTTAATATTTCATTATGGTTGATCTGTAATGAGTTACATCTCGCACTATCTAGGCCGACCTTATAGGCATCCATGCCTTTTATTTTCTTTGATATTATCTGGTTCCTTCACTTACTTTTATCACGTTGTTTGTGTGATGCTTCTTTCAAGTCTTATCAAAACTATTCAACTCTTCATCAATTTAAATACTGTTGCATGGATGGTCCTATCCATTTTCTTCTTGTTTTCTTTAGCTTTTCTTGTATAGCACACATGACTATATATCTGTTTTGTGGTTTTTCTTTAGTCATGTATGCGTATGGTTGTTCATTTGAGGTTAAATTAGGTTTAATTTTAGTTGAAAATGGTAGTTAGAATTTGTAGTTGAAAAAAAATGGTGATTGTGTCAAAAAATAATATTTTGGATAAAATGCATTATTGGAACATAGTTACTAAAATATAATATTTTGACACTGTAGCACCACTTATAATATGGTTTTGGTATGCAAAAATAGCTTTTTATACTTGTTAAATTTTAGAGTTAGCCCAATAACATTTTTTGCAAGGGCCTAACAGATTTTCAAATTGGGTTGAGACTAAGAAGTCGCAACATGATCCTATTTGAGCCCAATCTTAAGAAACATGGGAAAGTGAACCGGAAAGATTCTCATTCTCATTATTGTTGGTCAAGTTTGGGCATGGGTTGGACTGAGGCCTGTTGTGCTCATGGCACAGGCCTACTTTCACAATTTTTTTTTTTTTGTCTTCTTAAAGTGCTTATATCGATCTTACAACATACTCGTACTATTTAAGTTAGAAGTGCAGTTTGAAATCGTACCATGAACACCGCTATACCCTGGGCTCCTTTCACAAATATACAGGACTATAAATATGGTTTACACACAATAGCTTTATCTTCTACCCTTTCACTTTTGACATTCTTTCAACTCAATTCGTCTGAGATAAGGCATCAAGTTAAATAAGAGATGCTACGTGCAAGTGTGATTCTCTTCATTGTACAATTTCTATCCTTAAATCAATAGATCATGGAACTCACAAGATCTAAGAATTGACTTTGCGCGGTTGTAGCTGTATTCTAATTCTAATTTTAGGTAAATTAAAAGGCAATGGGTTCGGCAATTTGATCAATCCCGTTGTATATTCTAATTTTTGCTATTAAATGTATATAGCAAATTGTCTTTAGCTCGAATTAGCACAATCACAATTGATAATTGTAAATTGTCACCACAAAACAAAGTCAAAGCAATGAAAGTGTTAATTTGTCGATTAAACGTCATGACCAAAAAAAAAAAAAAAAAAAAAAAAAAAAGGAGTTGTCTTGGCTAGTTGAACATAGTCGAAGTAAACCGGTTATTGCTCAAGACAACAATTGTTGAAAATGTAGCCTAAACTTTGCAGGCTGGTAATGGAGAACCACACAGACAGTCATTACCCAAAAATGCACTCGCCGGAAACTTTGTCGCCGGTAGCTGACCGCACAAATGGTTGTGACTAACATTAACCGTTTGGAGCCCAGAAATAGCCTTGGGCACCTTCCCAAACACCAAATTTCGAGACAAATCCAAGTACTTCAATGTCGTGGCAAATCTCATACTCTCAAAATTAAAACGTAACCCATTATTAGAAGCCCAAAATCCGACTAGATAATCCGTTCGGTTCAGTAAACCGACCGGACTACCCAATATTTCGTTATCGGAAAGATCAATATAATCGTAGAAGTATGTCTCCGACGGCTTCCAGTCATCTAATTTGAACTTTAATCCACATTTTGCTAACTTGAGAGAGTATATGATCGGAGACGAAGTAACCCATTTCGGAATTTGAACTAAATGAAAATCATTATATGATAAATCGAGTGACTCAATACCTTTCACATTCATCACCGGAAAGGGATCGATGAGAAGGTTATGAGAGAGATCGAGATTGAAGATTTTGGTGAGATTTGCAAAAGTTTTTGGCACAGTTCCCGAGAAACGATTCCGTGAGAGATCCAAGGTGTCCAGTGCATGGAACTTTCCCAGAAAATCAGGGATTTGTCCGGTGAGAGCATTGTGGCCCAGCTCAAGATAGCCTAGCTTTGGTGCGAGAGTTGAGATTGAAGCTGGAATTTTCCCGGAAAATTTGTTGTGGGAAAGTTCGAGAATTCGGAGGTTGGTGAATGATGAGAACAAATCGGGTATGTAGCCGGAGAGCTGGTTCCGGGGTAGGCTTAGGTAAGTGAGGTTACTGAGTCGCCGGATTCCGAGTGGAATCGTGCCGGTGAGAAGATTGCCGCCGAGTTTGAGCTGACCCAGCTGAGTCAACTCGGAAATTGAACTCGGTATGGTACCGGAAAACCTGTTCCCTTCGAAACTCAGTGCTTCGAGTTGGGTCAGATTACCGATGTTTTTGGGTAATTGACCCGATAACTTGCTGTTCTGAATGTAGACGTATTTGAGATCCGGTAACCCGAAGAAAAAATTTGGGAATGGACCCGAAATATTTCGGAGGTTCTGAAGGTATATACCACTTAAGTACCGGAGTTTCGAGAGTGAAGGAGAGATTGTACCGGACAAGAAGCTGTTGGGTTTTTCGAGTTGCCCGTAGAGGGATAAGCTCGTGACCCGGTTATCTCGGCAAGATATTCCGGGCCATGAGCAGCAGTCCGTACCCGATTTCCACGAGTCAAGCATTCCAGATGGGTCTGCAGTGATACCCGATTTGAAACCCAACAAACCAGTTGCATCATCCACGTGGCATTTTGCGGTTGCCACTGTGAGGCACCGGAGGGTGCCGAGAGAGAGGAAAATGAGGAAGAGAGGAGAGGGGAGATACGAGGGAAAAGTCGTCATTTTGATGTTTTGAGAATGGAAGCAAGTGAGATGGTTATTGCTCTTGTGGGCACTTATAGGATTCACCAGTTTGGAAATTTGACCAAAATTAAATATTTAGGAGTTTGTAAAGCTGTTTGACCAAAACACTCAAGATCTTTATTTTATTTTATTCTATTTATTTGTTTTTATGAGAAGGGATGGCTTAAGATGGTTGGTAAAATAAGAATTTAAATTGGGAAGTGATAAAATCTTTGATTTAATGAACGCATACCTCACTATAAGTTCACTTTTGGGTGATAAAAATAAATGAGTACTGTCTTTGAAAGTGAGTACCATCTTTGAAAGTGCTTTCTCCTTTCTAAGAAACGTGAACTATGAGAAATTCGTTTTTGATCCAAAACGAGTGTATTTTGGATGAAATTAATTCATGGCCATGTTAGGTTTCAGCTAAAGATATTTGTTTAGGGTTTTGAGATTATTTTTTATTATTTTATACTTTTATGGGAGTGTGTTGATTATTTTTTTATTTTTAATATTTAGTAATTTTTAGTGATTATGTTTCTTATTCTAATTTTTTTTAAAAAAATTTAGAATTTTTTTTATTTGTTTTATTTTTAGTTTCCTTGGCTAATTAGTTTCTTTTTGATGTAAGATTTTATTGATATATATATATATATATATATATAGTGCAAAGCAAATCATTAACTTATTTAATTATCAGTGGATTCAAAGTTACCATATTTTATGGATTCAAAGTAATCCTTAATATTTATGAACTTTTCAAAACTTCCAAGACCAAATCTCTTCATTTTACCATTAAATTAAGACAATTTGTTTAAATCCATGAAAATAAATTATTAAATTGCCCAAAATTATTTGAATAAGAAAAATGATAATATAATATCAATGAACCCTACTTTGATTATATTTAGGTTTTTGTTTTACTCGAATTATGTAGTCGGTTAGTTTGTTTGGCATGTAGTATATATCATTTATTTTCGTCTAATTTAGTTATGAACTTTGTCTATATTTCATAACATAAATTATATGAATTTTATATGTGTTTTAATTTACTTAAATCTCGTGTGACAACTCAATTAGGTACTTAAAACTAAAAATGTTAATAATTTCTTTATTAGTGCATTTATTAATATCGCCTTTATTTTCGTCTAATTTAGTTATGAACTTTGTATATATTTCATAACATAAATCATATGAATTTTATATGCGTTTTAATTTGCTTAAATCTTGTGTGACAACTTAATCAGGTACTTAAAACTAGAAATGTTAATAATTTCTCTATTAGTGCATTTATTAATGTCGCCATGCATGTGATTACAAATATTGGAGGATTTATCTAAACATTATATATTTATATTCATTTTGAGCTCTCTCACACATGAATTGCCTACAAAATAAAACACTATCTAATAATTGTCATTATATTTTTTTGGACCCTCACACATTAGTTGCCAACAAAATTAAATTACTATTTGTAAAGCTAAAAATGCAAATAATGTTTTATATTTCTTTGATTAGAAAATATTAATATTATTTTCATATATTAATCAAAAGAAAACCTAGTTTTGAAATTTTGCTTTAGGCCTCAGAAAAATATCAAGCCGCCCCTCGACCGTCAGCTTATTTTTCTCGCTTATGGCCAAAAATAAGAGAAATTTTCCTTCAATTTCTCTTCCCTTTTTCTTATTAAAATGCAGACAGAATACATGTATCCTCCCTATTTATCCTTTCTCTTTCCTGCAAAAAAAATTTTTTTACTGTATTTATTTTTCTCGTCTATTTTATTCGATCATTTTGTTTTTGGTTTTTTTTTTTTTTTTTCTGAAGTGTTTTTGGTTCTGTATGTTAGAGCAAAAAATATTTTATTTTGTATTTTTTTGGAGTTTGGTTGGAAAAAAATATTTACGACTAAAAAAAAATTTAAAACTTAATAAAAATAATTTATTTATTAAATTTTTGACAAATTATTTTGCAGCATGTACGTTTGGACTCGTCAACTTTAATTTCGCCTACACTTTTAACAAACATCTAAAAATAATATATATATATATTATTTGAAAAAGAAAAATATCCAAACAAACTGATATGTATAAACTATAGATGACATCAGACATTAGGGTGGTGGATTAATGGCGTCCAGTCCACCATTGACCAGTCAAAAGTGAAGGCTGCAGCCGCTGCACACGTATCTGAATCTACAAGTATCTAATTTTGGTAAAATTTGCCGACAGTTTTCAAGTCAAAATCATTCTGAATTAAGATGCATCCCCCTAAGATGTTACAGGCCACACCCGCCCGAAATGTAGATCCAATAAGAAGTTGGATTAATGATTCTCCATTGCCTTAACATGAGGCTTTTCCTTTTTAGCCCATTTACAAAATGAACTCTTCTTGTTCTATACAATAAATGGCCCAATCGGTTAATTAATTAATTAATTAATTTACTTATTTATTTTATTGTCAAATTAGTAAAAAAGGATGAATCAAATTATAAATAAACTCATTTGGGGGAGTTGAGCACTTTACCAGTTAGGTCACCAGACAATACTCTCAATTAATTTGTTAATTCAGAAACTGTGGCAAGTGCCAACATTTTATGTGAAACTCTTATGACCATATAGTGACCAAATTCAAGGAAACATTTAGCTATTTTGTACCAATGTTAAATTTTCTAATACTAATGTTAAATAAAAGCAAGAGCCATTCTTAACACCACTATCATTTGTCTTGTCATTGTCATCGACATGCTCATCGTAATTGAAGTCCATACCATGAAACAAGAGAGTTATGGTACGTTAGGTTATATAAAATTAGTGTTTTAAAATTAAATTTAGAATAGAAAAAAAAAAATTATTTTAAAATTTAAATTTAAATTTTTTAAATTTTAAGACACCAATTTGATACAAGCAAACATAGAATTTATTAGAATTATTAGAATTAGAAACAAAAATGGGAGAATTTTGGATAACCCTAGAACACAGAGGAATAGTCCACCTCCTTATCTTGTTTTTCCTCGAGAATTATTGAAAATCTGGGTCTTTCCTTTTTGCTTCTCCACGTGCTTGTCTTGTGTCGTCTTTCGCTTTGGAGGGCAATTCGTGGTGGAGTGGCCAAAAGGGTACATGCGACAACATGGACCTCAACCCTAATAATCATTACACAATATCACCACCACAAGTGAGATCCAACTCAAAATCGGTTTAAGAATTTCTTTATAATTTTGATTTATACTTTCTATTATTTTAATTATTAAACAATTCCTTTCATTTTTTATACTATAGAACTCAAATATTCTAGAGTCCTAATAGTTGAAAAGTTATTAATTGACAACCATTCCACACATTCTAATTATATCAATGGACCATCAGTTCAGTGGGCTTCCAACCCAACAAGAATAACCCAAAACCTCCTTTTTTCTACAATATTTGCAACATACTTTAACGGTAAGTGGTAATCTAAGTTTGATAGAAAAACAAATGATTAGGGATGGTAAAGGCAAGGAAATGGGACGAGTTTGTCTATGTCATTTAATTAATGAGAATCTCATATTTAAGATGGTGGTTGATTTTTTAAATTCATTCCTGTTTCTTTAAAGATAAGTGGACACTTGTTTATTCGGTTCATAAGCGTTTTTTTTATTGTGGGCCTAAGACCATTAACTCTTTCAATAACAAAATAAATAGTAAATTCAAAAGAATTAAAAGTCCATTAAAGAACCAACCCTACAAAAAAAATAAAACAATACACCATTATTGTTAATGTGAACTAATAATAAATAAATATATTATTTTTTTTATTTACAAATTTAATATAATGGAGTAAATACTCACTTAACAAATCAGAGATGGTGATATATCAATCATATCATTGTAGCAACTGAATATTTTTTGCATAAACAAAATAAAAATCAACCTGATTCTAAGTCGTGAAGCAAAATATAAAAGGAGGATGTGGATAAATAGGAGGACGAGAGAAAAAGAATATCAATGATATATGAGTCCAATATGCAAGGTCTATGAATTATCTCATAAAAGGCACTGCAATAAAGCATCAATACTGTCATTCATCCATAATTAAATGAAATTGTTCATAGAACAAAAAAAATCAAGAGCCTCGAGCCAATAAAGACTGAGAAAATTGACTCAAGAAAAAATTTCATTAAGCGATCCATTGTAGAATTCAAACCTAACCAGTAAGCAAAAAGCGATGAGAACAACGGAACTTATGAATGCAGAAGATTCTATTGAAACGGAGTTTTAATGATATTTAGTGGTACAATACTTGGGTTCTCATTAATGAGGATCTAACCATCCTCACTGTTGCATATATATATAGCAAGGCGGGAAGGAGTTTCATACATGTTCTATTAAGAATCAGACAGCCGAGAACCAAGTAGGACAAGCAAAATTGTCATCCCCAAATATAAGAGAGGTGAAATTGAATATGCATGCTAATTTGGTAGAGGAGAAAAGAGAAAAATAATGATAAACACCTCTTTAAATGCAGTATTTTGTTTGTCAGCCAAAAATGAGAGAATAACAAGAGAGAATTTATTAAACTAAATTTTATTAGTCTCATTTGAATGTTTTACTTTATACATATAATAGAGCATAAAATGACTCGGATGTTACTCTAAACAAAAAAACAATATACAACGCCTAACGCATCGAAAGGTTGCTGTCAAAAAATATAAAATGAAATCATATAGACAAACTACCTATATTTTGATGTCTATCCAACGAGTGCTGCTGTCGAATTATACATATATTATATATATGAATTTAAGTGGGCGGATTATATTATAAACCTAGTCAATTGAAATAGATCTAGTAACTATTTGACCCATTAGTCATTTCATCATAAAATCCTTTGTATTACGATCTCTCTTTATTCGTGCATGATCATATATATATATATATATATATATATATATATATATATACAGTTGGATTTATAATTTTCTATATATATATATATATGAAAGCTACAGAAAACATACAACACTGACCACACGAAAAATAAAAAAGTAGATGAACAATAGAAATATTTTTAACAGCGAAGGCGTGAAGAAAGGGAAAGGCAAGGCAAATGTGTTGTCGTCGTCGCCTTTTCTTAAGAGTGTAAATGCATTTAGATTATCAACTTGGAGGCTCGGACCTGACTAGAGAAGGCTATGCCCAATAAAATTGATTGATTGCGACTTAGAATTTTTATACCAAACCTTTTGTCCATGAGCTTGCGTTGCCAAGTGGGAAGTTCAAAATTTTTCTTTTTCTTCTTCTTTTTTTTTTTTTTTTTTTTTTTTTTTTTTTCCTAAGTTGTAAAATAAATTATTCATTCCAAATTTATACGTAATTTTTTATGGAAAGAGATGATTAAGACTTATGTTGCAATATCTATTGGAATGATAAAAAGAAATTGATCAGATATTGTGATCATAAGGTGTCCATGATCGGGTTTAGTTTTTTTTGGCATTCAATTAACTTTGTTATAATAATTTTAAAAAACTATATAATAAAATAATATTAATTAGTTAAAGATGTATAAAATAATATAATTATAGCCAACACGAAAATGATAAAACCCTAGTGGGTTTTGAAAAATTATACTTGTACCAGCGTGTTATAGTGAATTGTCAAACCTAGTTATTTTAATTGATCCATTTATACAGTAAATAAGGAAGTGTGATCCTTTATTTACTTATATTGTGCATAAATAACTAATTGAAAACTTTCAATTAGATAATTCATTATAATAAATCAGTGCAAGTATCACTAAGAGACTTTATTGTACATTATTTATTAGATTCTCACCCAAAAATATACATACATATATATATATATATCAATTATTTTTTGTAACATTATCCTTTTAACGCACATTATATAAGAATAAGGTAAAAATGATGATAATAATACGATGCAAATGTCTTAATAGCCCAATAGTTAGTACTTTCGATAAATTTTAGAGGGTTAAACTTCATGTTCAATATCACTTCCCTTACAAATACAATATACATTAATTCCTTGTTCCACCGGTGCAGGGTTGCAAACTTGCCATGACTCATGAGCTTACCTCCAAAGATATAGCCTAATGAGTTTTTAATTAGAACAATTTTTTTTTTTTAATGAATAGAAAAATAACAAAATAATTTTTATTTTTTTGAATTTTTGAAATTTACTTATACAAAATTGCATCGAACAGACACTTAACTCTTTCTTTATTCTTGAGCTTCGACAGATGCTTTTCAAATTGAGAGTCCCATTGTAAAACTCACGCATCCAAAAATTATGCTTGTGTGGTCACAACTGCGTGGAGAAGAATAAATTAATTGAGATACTCACTTAAAACACTTCTTTGTATATAAATATATTTTAAACATAGCTTACAAATTACAATTGAAGAAGAATAAATTAATTAGATACCCATTTGAATACTTGGAAAAGAAAAGACCATTATTATTATTATTATTATTATTATTATTTTTTTGACACAATAGACTAATTCAGACACCCACTCACTTAAACACTTCTTTGTATATAAATAAACTAATTCAGATACCCACAGATCCAAGGGTTGAAGGACTGGTTGGTAGTACCTTAAACACTTATTTGTATATAAATATATATACACTTATATATTGTATACGTATGTATGTCTATATATACATTTCCTTTCAAGTGTTTGAAAAATGATCTGCGGATTAAAATTGTAAGCAAAGTTTAAGTTTGGCAAGTTATTTTTCTCTTATCTACAATTTTATAACTCATCTCAGAGGCGATCAAATGTATGAAAATGTCACAAATGTTTTCGAATAGACATTTGAGTAACATATATTATAATTCATAACAGAAGGGATAGATATTTTGATCTCCATGTAATATATTAGATCCAAATAAGAAAATAATTGAGTATATATGAATCGAGTGTTAGTACCATCTAATAACTTAAAATTTTGAATTATATTGCAAAACACCTAACCCGTTACAATTTACAAGTGTCCGAGTTTGCGTACTTGAGTAGCCATGACTTCAAAAAGAAGAAAAATATGAGTAAAAAATTATAGTTTGATTAATGCACGAGAATGCAAAATTTTACGGAAAAAAAAAAATTGAGAGAGAGAGAGAGAGAGAGAGAAGTGGGGCAGGGACTAAATTTTTTTTTTTTTAAAAAACAAATAAAGTTAAGCACAAAATTTTCAAAATATTGTTGAAACTTTTCTTTTTATTTTTTCGATTCTTACAAGGGGGTTAATCTTATACTAACAACTAACAAGTAGTCATTCAAGTACCTGGACATTAGACCCCACGAAAGCGTCCTGGTCAAGCATCAGAGCTGTAAATCCTAAATAGTCTACAAAGTCCATAGTCCATGAAATCAAGGGACCACTGTAGTCTTATCCTTCAAATAGTCCCATCTCTGATCAAGCCGGAAAGGCACTTAGTGGTGGGACCCCATTCACTTAAACTGTAACCTGTCACATCGTATCCCTCACTCCGACTAATTATATTAGGACCATCTTCCTTAACGGATGCTACTATGGTTCTCTCTCTCTTTCCCTCACACACACACACACACATAGAAGGAAATGGAGAATTCTTCAGAGCAGAGTAAAATGGAGCAGCAACCATCACAAGGAAGACCAAAGGGTGGGCTGATAACCATGCCATTCATCATTGGTATGTAAAACGTACATTATACATATACATATATATATAGGTATAAATACTCTCTGGCTATAAGCTCAAAATGTTCATGAGTTTTTCAGAATTTTGTTGTTTTTATTAAAATTATTTGTGATCTTTGACTCCAATTTGATTGAATTTCTATTTTGTGGGTCCTGTAGCGAATGAAGCATTTGAGAAGGTGGCAAGCTATGGGTTGTTACCAAACATGATATTGTATCTGATGAATGAGTATAACATTGGTGCAGTCAAAGGGACCAACATACTCTTCTTCTGGTCAGCAGCTACCAATTTCATGCCAATTGTTGGGGCTTTCCTCTCTGATTCATATCTCAGTCGATTCCTCACCATTGGCTTTGGTTCCATCTTCAGTTTCTTGGTATTAATTTCTTAAGTCCCCCAAAATCTCTTTCCTTTCCTTTTGTTACGAATTTCTCCTTTCCAAATTTTATCATTGCATATTAGACTCACCCACTTAATTAGCTTAGCGTGTGACACATTGGATTTGGTCACTCTATGTAGAGGAACTAGCATTTGGCAGCACAGTGAGAGAGAGAGAGAGTTTGCCAAATTAGTGATCTTAGATTTGGGGATCTATGTATTCAACTAGTATGCATAGCTTGATGAAGTTCTTCTATGGGCTTTATTTAAGCACATTAAAGCATCTGATTACATATCTGCTTAGGAGTTTAGAAACTTAAGCATAGTCTAGAAGACAAGTTTGGAAGATTAGAGGGTCAAATTTTAGTTTGCAATTGAACAAACTATGCTTACAAGATAAATTCTCTGAATATATATATAGAGAGAGAGAGGAGAGTAATGATCTCTTGCTCACCACTGAGTAAGAAACTTTCTCCACATTAAGCATGGTAACCTTTGGATATGATTTAAGTGTAAAAAAGGGAATTATCAAAAAAACATACCAATTGAATCCAATGGGTACCTGATCCAAGGACTCTAATGTATCCGTTGCATCAATAACTGTTGCAAGTAATAATTTCTCGTGAGCAAGAGATCATTTCTGTATATATGTATATGTTCATTATGAACTGAATAGGATGGGATTCTCTGGCTAATATACGTAGATCCCACCACTCTGTTATGTGGTCCTAAATTCAGTGAATTAGTATGGTAACTTTATGCCTGCTCTCTCTGTAACATTTAGAACTAAAATTGACTTTCCTTTGTCAATTCTGTCACATCAATCATGTTTACTCTTGTGAGTTCGTTTGTGATTTATCGGTTTTGAAGAGAGTTTATACACGCAAGTGGGGTGAAAGAAAATAAATTGAAACAATTATTGGCGAGTTTGGTTCTTGGATTTAATGAGGACAAAGAAAAGGAAAGATAGGAAGTAAAGTAAAGCGATTTCCCCAATGTCTCTTGCTTTCTCAAAATTAAGTTAGAAATTGAAGATTTTCTCAATAATTGTTAGGAATCAAGAAATGAAAATGAATTGAAATGTAGAAGTTTGAAAATTTCTCCTTAACGGCCTTAACTCGATTTCTTTTCCCTTCTATTTTTTCATGCTAACCAAACAACAAAAAAATATTCTTTAATTTTATTATCCTTTCCTCACTGAATTTGCGAACCAAATGGGAACCTAAGATGTCGTACTTGGAGTTATGATGTATATACTGGTAGCTCGTCTGTTTGAAGCTGGCCTCTGGTGTCTTTATACCAAAACAATAGCAAACTAAATGAAATCAAATTAAAATTTATTTATGACAGGGAATGGTAGTCCTGTGGTTAACAGCTATGATTCCACAAGCAAAGCCTCCCCCTTGCGATCTATTAGCAGGTCAAAGCTGCAAATCCCCTACACAAGTGCAATACTTTGTCCTGTTTGCTTCGTTCGCCCTCATGTCCATTGGAGCTGGTGGTATTAGACCATGTTCCTTAGCCTTTGGAGCAGATCAGTTGGACAAAAGGGATAATCCAAAGAATGAGAGGGTCTTGGAGAGCTACTTCAGTTGGTACTATGCTTCAGCAACTTCTTCGGTTCTGGTTGCTTTGACCGGCATTGTATACATTCAAGATCACATGGGATGGAAAGTGGGCTTCGGAGTTCCTGCAATTCTCATGTTCTTCTCTGCATTGTTGTTCTTCCTTGCTTCTCCCATCTATGTGAAAATGAAAGCTAGCAAGAGCTTGCTCACTGGATTCGCGCAAGTGGCTGTGGTCACTTACAAGAACAGAAGGCTTGCTTTACCACCTCAGGATTCAAGTGGGTGGTACCATCATAGAAAGGATTCAGAGCTCAAAGTGCCAACCAACAAACTTAGGTAATACTCATTGTCATATCAACATCATTTAAAGCTCGGTCCATGAATGTTTTTTTTGACATATGTCAAGTATTTTGTGCAATCAGGTTTCTAAATAAAGCTTGCATCATTCGGAAGCCTGAAGATATAACCCCAGATGGAATAGCTTTAAACCCTTGGAGCATTTGCTCGGTGGAACAAGTGGAAGCGTTAAAGGCATTGCTTAAAGTCATCCCAATATGGTCTTCGGGGATCATGATGTCCATAAACATAAGCCAAACCTCATTCCCATTACTCCAAGCCAAGTCCTTGGACAGACACTTGACGTCAAGCTTCCAAATCCCCGCAGGATCTTTCGGAATGTTCACAATCATTGCTCTAACACTTTGGATTGTTCTCTATGACCGAGTAATCCTTCCCGTGGCGTCAAAGATCAAAGGAAAACCAGTTTACCTCGGTGTGAAACTAAGAATGGGCATCGGGCTGTTTTTCTCTTGCCTAGCCATGGTAGTTTCAGCACTTGTGGAGAATGTTAGGAGGAGAAAAGCAATCAAACAAGGGTTTTTGAACAATGCTGGTGGACTGGTGGATATGTCAGCTATGTGGCTTGTGCCGCAACATTGCTTGAATGGCTTAGCGGAAGCTTTCAACGCCATTGGCCAAACAGAGTTCTATTACACTGAATTCCCGAAAAGCATGTCAAGCATTGCGTCTTCTCTGTTCTTACTGGGGATGGCTGTGGCAAACTTGCTAGCCACTGCTATACTGAGCACTGTGAATGATCTCACTAAAAAAGGAGGGAAAGAGAGTTGGGTTTCTGATAATATTAACAGGGGCCAGTATGAAAACTATTATTGGATTCTTGCCATATTGAGTTCCATTAATTTGCTGTATTATATTTTTTGTAGTTGGGCATATGGACCTTGTGTAGACCAAAGGATTAAAGTTACGGATGAAGGGAAAGAAATGAAGGAGGAAGAAATATCCAAACAAGAAAATGTACTCAGGGATGAAGGAGAAGGCTTTAAGGTGGAGGAGTTACCTAGAATTAAGGCATTGCCAGCTTGATATATGTTAAAACTGGTTCTACTTTTGTATTAAATGTATAATCACATGCTTGGTAATACACAATTATAAATCTAATTTTTCTCTCTGCTATAATGTACCTCTTGAAATGATTTTTATTTTTATGTATGTTAATTCTATTTTCAATTCATATGTTTTTCCTATTTCCAAAATGTATGTTGCTTTTCTTTTCAATTTCTCATCATATCTATTTGTGTTTGGCGATTTTGTGATTGAAAAAGAAGAAAGTGGTTATGACAAACACATCCAACCAACTAGCAGGACAATAAATATGTACAAACATAAAGATTCATGTCATTTCGCGTAACGCTTAAGTCTACGATCAAGATCCGGTGAATTTCACTATATTATGTTGATATGCATATTCCGACGATTACGGGATTGAAAAAGAATAAAAAAGTCAATAGAGTTATGACAAACACTTTGTGCCAACTAACAAAAAATAAACATGCACCACATATAAAACACAGAAGATTTATATAATTTGACGTAGAACATAAGTTTAGGATAAAAATATAGAGAATTTTAAAATGTAAAAAATAAGAGTTTATAAATTTCGGATATAAGGGAGCCTACAACCTCCAACCACAACCTCACAAGTATGATTGAAATTACCGTGCTCCTAATTAGCACCAAAGATTGAAAATGATATTTTGATGGCTACACAAATATAACGAGTGCAAAAAAAAAAAAAAAAAAATTAGCCACCCTAAATAAGTACGTCCATATGGGTTTTGGAGCTTTATGAATGGACCCATATTAAGGATCAAAAGAGAAAATGATATTCGGACGTGTCCCATGTCAAAGATCATTTATCTTTTTTTTTGGATTTGGACCTGCATTGCTTATGCCATTTTTATATTTTTACATTTTGGCCAAACTACTAGTCCACCACTTAGTGACCTATCAACAACATTTCAAAAGTAATCTTCCCAAACCTAATAATTCTGTCTAAAGTAAAGTGGACTTAGACGCAATTATTATCACTTGTACAGTTGTCCACATGTGCCATGTTTGATATGTTTTGACAAGTACTAAAGGCCAAAATGCTTTCCTCCATACAATTTCACTAATGCAACAATAATTGTCGATTTTTACTGCAATTTCTTCTTTTTTATCCTCAGAATTTTATGTGTGTGAGTGTGTGTAAACTATCAACATAAGCTTAAAAGTTCCTTTTACACCTGGAATGTCAAAAGAGAGTGTTTTGCATGAGTCGATTTCTTTTGATGCTATAGTTGGCCTTGTTTTGATTGATATTGTTAAGTATTACTGCATACCTACTCATTTATATTATTTTTTTATTTTTCATTTAGATCCGATGTGGGACAAATACCCTTTGTAACATTTTTTTCTACCCGAACTTGCAACGCCCTCGTTACAGTCAGGTCACCCTGCCTACCTAGATGTCTTTCAGGCTGAGCACTTGTTGTGACACCAGATTAAGAATTGAGTCTGACTTTGATACCAACTGTAATGGGTCGGCGCTTACCTATTTACTCAAAAACTTAAGTTGTTAGGTATTTCTGCATATTCACCTATTATACAATTATACCCCTTTGACTCCCTATCTAGATTCGATAGAAAACAAATACTACTTGTAACACTTATCCTACCCTTTGTAAATTTCTACAAAATTATGACTACATAGTACATATATATTAAGAATAAAATTTTTATTTTTTTTGGTATGGGTATATCAAGAATAAGAATAAAGTTAAATCAAACATTAGGGATACATGGTGTGACCACCTCCCTAACTACCACGGAAAAAACTGTAAGCACGCAACTTTTTGACACAACCCATTTTTAAAAAGTAATTTTTTTATATATTTAAAACATCTTTTTTCTATAACTTTAGGTGAGACATACATTGCTTTTGAGTGTGATGAAAACCAAAAATGATTGAAATGTGTGGGTTCTTTTTAAAACACAGTAATAAATACCAATCAATGACAAGAGACTCAAAAAGGTTGGATTAGAAGAAGAAAGGAAAACAAACCACCCAATGAATTCATTGTGTGAGTGTGTGTGTGTGTGTGTGAGAGAGAGAGAGAGAGAGAGAGAGTTTGATGTGCCATCACAAACAAACGTAATACATTCAATTTGACTAGTAAAGGAGATCAAGTTGCCTTTAATGCTCCACCACAAAGCTCCTGTCCCTTAATACTGTGCGCGCGAGGGCTCGATCATTAGGCGTTATACACTCGTGGGTCTTAAATCATTAATCTAAATACTTTGTCATTATTGACTTAACCTCCATGACTTTGACATACCAACTATTTTGTACGGAGTATGACTCGAGGTTTGATTGAATGTTTTAAGATTTTCAAGTGAATTAGAAGACAGTCCCATAATTTTGATCAATAAGGTGCCTTCTCAAGGTTTGGGGAGACCTAAAAAGAGGTATCCCATGATTTTAAATGTATTGAGAGTAGGCCCCAGTCAGAAAAATTATTAGGGGGACAAACTAGTAATATACAATCAAAATATAAAAATAAAATAAAATAATTGGATAAATTATGTTTTAGTTTTTTTAAAAATTATATTGTTGAAAGTCTTTCTGTAATTGATATAAGAAAAAAAAAAATGGTGCAAAGAATAGTTGAGGTTGTCAAGTGTTTAAGCATTTTTTATTTATGGCTCTTTGAAGGGAATACAAGTAATTTCATCTAAACCACATTTAATAACCATAAATAGATTTTTTTTTTTTTTTTTTTTAAGTTGAAAGGCCAACTTTAATTTTTATATAGAAAATCACCAATTTAGTATCATAAATAGAGTTTTGCAAAAATTTTGGAAGGGACCAACGTTAATTTTTATATATAAAAAAAAATTAAAAAATAAATCTATCATTAATAGTATAATTTAGTACCCTTTTTGGTTTGAGGGCCATCCGAAAAAAATTATAATAAAAAGTGAGTAGACACTATACACCATACAGGCACGCTAATCAAATTTTTGGAAAAGAAGTACTCATTTAGCGAGAAAAAAAAAAAATAAATAAATAAAACAACCTGACCCTTCATTCCTTCAACCATATCAATTTCAATCTAATGCTTCATATTCTCTAGGCCCAATAAAATTCAATAATTGGTCAGTGTGGGGTATGCCCCCAAGTGGAATTTTAACGGTGATAAGTAAAACTGTTAAAAATAATTAATTTCACTACTTTGTTAACAAAATCCACTCTAGTATTTTGGCAATTCTTGTGGATTAAAGAATCCGGATTCAACTCCCGGCATTGGAATAGTTTTTTGTTTTTTTAAATTCTCTAGGCCCAATAACAAATTAGCCATATCATTTAAAGCCCAACTCCCGCAGTGGAATATTTTCTTGTTTTTTATATTCTCTAGGCCCAATAACAAATCAGACATATCATTTCAAGCCCAACTCCCTGCAGTGGAATAGTTTTTTGTTTTTAATATTATCTAGGCCCAATAACACCTAACCCTATTTAAATGTGTTGCTTATTAGAAATTTTTGGGGATACAAAAAGACACAGAATGTTGGGTATGAAGAAAGTTAAGAATACAAAGTATGCTTCATGAATAGAAAAAATAAATCATGAATAACATCACTCTGTGGTAGATGCAAAAATTACACAAAATCACTAACTGGTTTGGACATCAAATATGCGAGCACAAGTGTAGACAGAGCAAAACGCTTGTAAGCTCATCAACAATAGGAGAAAAATAGTTGCCAAAAATGTGAGAAACTGCCATGAGCCAAACACATAAATCTTCATAAATTTTCCAACTTTGATATTCCACCTCCCATTGTAATACTTGTTGACGTCTTCGATCACTTTATCTAACACAGGTACTTTGGTTAACCTAATAGACTTGCTCATCCCATTCCAAAGATTGGCCACTTCTCCGTCACTCTTCAAATGGTTCAAAATAATCCCTTTTTCTCTGAGCAGCTTTGCATCATCTTCATCGTCAATAATCCCATTCATTAATTCAGTGTAACGAGTGAAAACCAATGGCCCCGATGCATTGCATGCTTCGTATGCTACTATGTTTCTCATGATGACCTCTGTGTTCACGTCTAAGCTGACCAGAGGGAGGTACAATGTATTTGTTCTAACATCGAAACTAATGTTTGAGATGCCACCTTCAGTGGGTAAAAAACGGACACCGGCTTTGGAGAGATCGGTGACGGAAGGGATTTTGATTTCCTCAATCATGGGAGGTTTGTCGGGGTTAGTACTATTTGAGTTAGAACTATTCTCATTTTGGGGTCTGCCTTGGGAGAAGAATGACAATTCAATCTTTTGTTTCAACAATCTAAATGGTGGAAAGTTTGAGATGATACCCCAAGGCAATTTTTGTATCACTAGAAATGGTCCTTCGTTGAATTTTGAAAGGACCTCCCAAATCGTAACAAGGAGTTGTTTAACATTGCTTGAATTGGCAGAGGATTGATCTTCGGCTTCCTTGACTTCATTTTGATCCTGATCAACTTGATCAGTTACCTGGGATGATTGATGAATATCTTCCCAATTGGTCACTATCACATGGTACAAAAAGTCTAGCATGTGAGCATGCTTGGAGATTTGAAGATTTGGTAATACTTTTACCATCTTAAAGGGAGAAACCTCCTTGCAAAATTCCATTAACATGGAATGTAACAAATCATCTGCTAATTCCAACTGTGAGGATTGGAATTCTAGCATCTTCCTTAATAGGAAGAGTGGAATTTGATTCTCCAACATTACCATGTCACGAAGAATGGCATTATGAGCCGGCTTTCTACCTGCAATATCGACCAAATGGGACATCCTAGAACAAACTCTTGCCAGAGTCTTACCTGGTTTGAGAGCATAGATTTGCAGGAACTCAAGCAAGAAGGATGCATCAATTGCCATCATCCACGCCAATGTCTCGCCATTGAAATCAAGGTATTTGTGGTAGGAAGCTCGAATCCTCAACTCGAGCTTTGTCAACTGGTCCACTAGAGAGTGGAAGTTGATGCTTTGGAGTTGTTTCTGCATTCTTTTTGCTGCACCAAGCTTGTATCTCTCCGTCTCATGGGGTTCGGGACGCCAACGATGGTAAGGGCCTAGTGCAACTTGTTGTGGAATATATGAATCTGGATCAGTAGCTAATAGGGTTTTGGGGACGTTGAAGATGCTTACTGGGGTTTC